TCTCTGGTCTGAACATGCTGTTCATGGCCATCCAGAGAGCTGTCCTTGACTCTGGTCACCACAGTCCACCAGCCCAGAGTCAGAGGCTGAACCTACAGCCCCAGCCAAAAGATGTGGGGGTGAGACACCCTCTCTGGTACCCACCCTTCTCCCATGCCCATAATGTACAAACAGGACTGAAAGCCTGGATTTTCCTTTCTATCACTTGTAAATATCTGCAGAGGGAATGAAGTGAGTGAGAAGAGAAATGGAGAACCTTTTTCTTAAGGGTCGAGAAAAACAATTCTTGTTGCTTAGACCCTCCTCCTGTTGTTATAAGGAATGGCAGAAAACAAAACCCAAACTCTTACCAATTCCCGTGTAATTACGATGTTCTAGGGGGCCCTTCCTCTCTGCTGTCCTTAGAGGATTCAAATGTAATGATACAGCAGAAAACGGAAACAGAGATGCCTCAGGAGCTACGGGAGCATAGGCCGTGCCCCCAGGTACCCATCCCAGGTGCCCATCCTAGGCAACATCCCAAAGTCCTCCCCCAGCAGCTCTCCCCTGGCTCCTCCAGGACATGGGGGGACCTGCCTAACTTTTCATCCCAGGGAACACAGTGTTTAAGAGATTCTTCTTCTTTCCCAGAGATCCAGAGGGGACCCCACCTCCCTTTGCTGCAGGAGCTCAAGTACGAGAAAGGATTTTGTCTTCTGCCTGGGGAGGTACAGAAGGCAGCTGCTATAGGAAAGGCAGGAAGAGGCGACTCGCCCTGCTCGGGTTTGGACCGACAGCGTCCAGGGCACCTTGGTGGCAAGGAGTCCTCCCTGGGGCACTCACCATGCCGTCGGAGCAGTTGGAGCGGGGGCTGGAGGCGTCCGATTCCCCGCTGTAGTGCTCCAACACCGGGTAATAAGCGTCCTCCTGCTCCCGCAGCAGGGCCTGCAGGCTCTCGATGTAGCGGATGGCGTTGCGCAGGATCTCTACCTTGGGCAGGCGCTGGTTGGGGTTGGTGGAGGTGCAGCGCTTGAGGGTCTCGAAGGCTTCGTTGACCTTGCTGAGCCGCCGGCGCTCCCTCATGGTGGCGGCCTTACGGCGGTCGGCGTTGGTGGTCTTCCTCTTGCACGCCTTGCAGGCCCAGAGCAGGCAGCGGCCGGCCTGGTGGTGCCCGCTGGGCGCCCGGACGTGCTCCTCCTCGTGCCCGTGGTGGTGCCCGTGGTGGTGCGGGTGCTCCTCGGGCTTCAGCAGACCCCCGACGTGCACCAGCCGGGGGTCCAGGTCCTCGAAGAAGTGCATGTCCGACGTGTTGAAGCACGGGTCATCGTAGAAATCGTCGGCGGCTGTGAAGGAGCAGAGGGAGCCCTCCGTCATCTCCATGGGGCCCAGTAAGTCCATGGGCGCGGCGGAGGGGACAGCGAGGGACAACGGAGGAGCCTTGGACCGGGCTGCCGTGCGGCCGGGCGGGTGCGCGGAGCCGAGACCCTCGCAGCCTCTCTCAGGCGAGGCCACCAGCGCTGGCTGCTGCCCCGACCCCTCCCCAGCCGCGCCGGTCCGGGAGCGCCACTCGGGGCCGTATTTATGGCTGAGCCCCCCGGCGCGGCGGGTCGYGGCGGGGCGGGTCGGGGGGCGCGGCCGGGCGGGTCGGGGGCCGGGGCGGCGGGGGGGCGCAGTGTCCCGCCGGGGCAGGGGCAGCGGCAGCCAGGGCGCTCGCGTGTGCTCAGGGCTACATTCCCCCCCTTTCCTTTTTCCTCGCTCAGCAGCCCGCCCTGCCGGCGCGCCAGGGAGAGCGGTCGCCCCGATGCCCGAAGGTGCCGGCGCCGCCGGCCGCTCGCCCGGGGGGACAGCGGTGCGCCCCGCTGTAYCGGCACACGCCGGCGGGGCGCACACCGGCGGCGGCTCCGCTGGTTCCTCGCAACGAAAAAGCCCCCAGCCCCGGGACGCGTCTCTCCGCGGCGGCCGCGGCTCTGCGGCCACAGGGGTAATTCCTGCGGGGGCGTTCGTGGGGCGGGCGGCGCCAGGGGACACCGCGGAGAGCCGGGAGGTGCGGAGAGGACGAGGAGTGGGGACACCGCGGAGAGCCGGGAGGTGCGGGGAGCGGGGACACCGCGGGGAGCGGCGGAGACGGGCAGCGGCGGGCCAGGAGCGCCTGCAGGGGGCGGTGTGGGTCTGTCCYCGAGGGATGAGACAATGCCGTGCTCTGCATTGGATGGGACAAGAGGCTRACAGAATCCGAAAAGGTAAAAAACACCCATAAGTGATCAATCCCCGGTGCCTAGGACTTCTCAGAAGGGTTGTCATTATGGTGGCTTCTTTTGTTGTTACATTATTCGTTTTTTGGCAAAAATGCCTAGTCTGCAGTCCCCATTTTCTGCTTATCTAAATATCTTTGAATACAGACCGAGATAAGAACTGTAAGTCATATTCTGTCAGTATCCCTAAAAAGACGGAAGTTTTATTTAAAGATAAAACTATGTTTTGGACTCTATACAAACTCATTCTTTCACTGCACCCAATGCTGAAAAGCAATATGTMCCAAGGAGGTTAGCTACTGACCACCCCTGCACATTTGGAAATGTTTCTCCCAGCTGTTCTGAGAGGCAGAGTGGAGACATTTCACTTTTACAGAAGTCCTTTGAACCAGAAGGAATAAAGATATTTGGTTTTAAATCTTTATTGACAGCTAACAAAGTAAAAATAATTTGTACTCAAAATAGTTCAAGGTACGCAATAGCATAAAATAAATATAAATGAGAAAGAGTTTTATACTGTAATAACTGAACATGTGAAATGGGATACCAAGGCTTTGTGCTGGCAGTGTGACCCACTCAACACACTTAAATTCCCTCCAGGCCATTGGCTTAATTTTTGGAAAAGATCATTGTACCTAACGTTCAGTCAGTATTGTAGCCTATTCATCTTCGTGTGTTTGTAGCTTATATGTGACCCCAGGAAAAGACACTCAGTGACTTGAGTGCATAGGGGTTACCTTGAGCGAAGTGGTAACAAATGGTGGGGCTTGGACAAGCACTGTAGGGAGTTTGAGTGTGGGCTCAAGTGCATGAATTCATCCAAGTGAAAAGGTCAGGAGAAGGCTGTGACCAGACAGTGAAATCCACACAGTGATCTTCCGSTGAAGGTGCCCTTGAGGACACCTTCCTTTGAGTTTGGACATGCTGATTTCCAGAGGTCYCTTCCAGCCCTAACAATTCTKTGATTCTATGATTCCCTGCTGCTGCTGCCAGAACTAATGCCCAYTTTCCAGTGTAATTCCCAAAGATAGGTTTGGCTACAAAGACATYGCCTTGTACAGTGGGGCCTGAAAAAATGTCCTTGCAAAARGAACAAACCCTGAGGTGGCTCTTCTCAGTTTTGTGTGGCCACAGTGGAGAGGATGAAGGACAGAATGATCTCCACTCAGAGACTTTGAAGGGCATTCCTCACTTTGAGAGCAGGCAAGCATAGGTAGTACTTATGGCAAGCATTTACAAGGRTTTAATTGTTAAACCCCATTTGGAAGCCTCTGTAGCTTTAACTCCTAATTTCAGTAAAGATTAGGTCTCTCCTAACKTCCGGTTCGGATGCTGTGTTTAGGCTACTGGTGCTGCAGTAGCTATTCAGAGGTGTGTGTTTGGACTGTTCAGGCACCGCTTTGGAAGTACAGAGAGTGTGGATCAACAAGCATTCAGCAGAGAAAGAAAAGTTACAAAGTTTCTGTAAGAGCTGTTGCCCTTTTACCTGTTCTACAATCATCCTTGATCTATTTTTTTTTTCAGGATGTGATTGAAAAGGAAGCTGGGAAGGCAGAAGCAGATTGTACTTCCTGTGTTGAGAAGCATGGACAGACKCATACACAACTGACAGGTATTGTTAATTAATCTGAGACCATAGTCACAAGCATATGTGTTGTCTCAGCAGAAGCAGCATGTGGATAAGAAAAGCTTATTATTTACAGTAATTGATTTATCTTTTCTTTTTCAGAGGCTAGAGACTGGRAAAACAGCTGATTGTGAGTTTATCTAAAATTGACAGAATTGTCTTTTCAGGCAGTGGGCCCAAAATGTGTTCTGGCAAAGGAAAAGGGAGAGAGAAAGACTTAAATTCTGAGCGTGTGGATTCATTTGGTTAGGAGATGAGCATGAGAAGTCTGAGAAACAGACATGGCAGTATTTCATGGAAAAAAGAAGAAGCAAGTAGGTCTTACTCTGAAAAAATTGGGTTCTTCGTTATGTTGGAATKTAAGGTAAAAGTTTAAGTGCTGGAAACCATGGAGGAGGCTGTAACTGTTTCAAAAGGTCTTCAACTTTTAAAAGCAGGTTGTTGTATGAGTAGGTCAAACATTACCAGCACTACATGAAGTAGTTTCTATGGCACTAGTTTATAATTCAGTTAGTAGCTTTTCTCTGCTCACAATTATTGGGCTGTATTTTAATACTGAGAGGGACAGATTCCATTGCTCTTCTTCATGTTGAGTTGCAGTCAGTGGAACTAATTGTTGAATAAGGTATGCTCAGTATGGGGATGGGTGATGGAATCTAGCCCAGATGGAACTATCTTTTAAACTCCTGCTGTATTAGAGAGCAGTAATCTCAACACAGGCAAATACAGCATGTTGCTAAACGTGCTTTGAGCCATTCCTGTGGCACATTGCAGTATTTTGATAGATTAATACAGGGGTTGTTTTAAAATAGTTGTATTCGCCCCACCCCAGAGTTGAACCAGATTCACAGAAAGATTGGGAAAGCATATGCATTGTCCCACATTACAACACCAACAGAAGGTGGGTGGCCTTTGCAGAAATTGCTACTTAACTGCACGTGTGTATAAACATCGGTTTACTGAAAGTGTTTCATTGTGCAGTGTTTTTACACTAATGCAGTTTTCTGGCATTTATTTTCACTCTGTGGCATACTCTTCCATTGTACAAAACCTCCTCAGATGTAGAAAAATACTGGTGCAGTTTAGTAAACATATGCAAAATCTCTGGGAGAAGAATACCAGCCTCGGTGGTGAATTGAGGAATACAGTGGAGATGCAAACATAGCAGTGAATTTATTTTCAAGCAAAATAGGAGTATCACCAAAAGCATTACATGAAAGTGTGAGGCAGTCTTCAATGAATCAAACCCCAACTGCTTAAAAGATTGATAAAATGACAAAAAGCCCCTAACTGCAGGCAGCTGATCTAGCCAGTTGCTCTTCTTAGGTGACCGTGGGAGCCAGAGTACAGAAAGAAAGGCATTCCTGTAGGAGATGAATGAGAGGAATTTGGACACCTCTGGACTGTAACCAAGCTGGCTAACACTGCCCTAATTGAAAGAAAAACTAATGAGTGGCCATTCTCTCTGTTGCAATTCTAGTTGAGTGTGCTTTTTTTCACTAGGATCTCATGCCCTACTTGGTACCAAATAGGAATATAAGAAATAACTGGAGTGCCACAGTAATACGTTTACTGAGCTAGCTGARATAGGGATCTGTATCATAATTAAAGTGATCATCCTAGGTTAAATCTGGACAGAGCCCTGGGCATCAGAGCGCTGTCTTCAGTGACACTTGCAAAATATGCCTTAGGACCTATAAAGATCTCATCTAATGAGAACTCCTAATTTCTCTCTCATCTGCTTTCTGAGGATGAGAAAAACCAWCTAGGCAATAACTAGAGAAAACCAGCATGTTTTCTTATTCTCATTGTTGAGGAAATATTTGCATCCTTCATCCTGAACAAGTATACCATTACAATTAGCTGATCAGTAAATTAATTAGACTACTTACTTAAATTGTTACTATGATAGAAAACTTTGTTTTCAAACAAGTCTTTTTAAAAAGAAGTTCATTATGTTACTGTATTTGTTAGTAATTTAAAAATACGTAATAGTAATATAAAATATTCAGTWATATGTAATAAAGGATTTGGATTTTCTACCACATAAAAGTTTCCTTGCACTAAAGGTACAGTGGGTTTTGTTTTAATAAAAATTACATATATTTTTAAAATAATATGCACTAACTAATCCTCTTAATCATTTAAAACAGAGAAGCAGCTTAAGAGCTTTTGGCTTCTAGGAAGAATTGCATAGATAAGCATGCCAATCTAGCTGGCAACCTTATTTAAACCAAATAATGGTATAGGCTAGATTCTGAGCTGCAACTCAGCAGACGACTTGGGGCACAGGGTGTAAAGCAGGAGTGATAGAGCATTGTGTCTCCCGAGTTGTGGTCCCAGCTCCACCCTCTGGACAGCTCTGCCTGAGGAGCTGCTCTGTAGCTGCAGCAGCCTCAGCATTAAAGGCYCTCCCTGCCCTGCTTCACCTTTGCTCCTGTCCCATCGTTACCCAGTGGCAGCATCGTGGTGCAGTGTATGGTTGCATATATTGGCCCTATGCCATTTCTGTGCTGGGAGCATTCTCTCTGGGGTCGCTTTGGACCTTCTGCAGCTCCTGCACACTGCTGGAGAGGTGGRCAGGGGCTGCAGGGATCACTAGACTCTGGCTCTATGCTGGTCCTGAACTCTTTCTGCAAACGGTCCATAAAGTAATCCCCAAGACTATTTCTGCCATCCTGGGAACAGTCGAGCCTGCGAGCATTGGTCAGCAGATCTCCCATCAGCTTGATCTTCCAGATTTTGGGCCCAATAAATTGTTTCTTGATAGTGCTTGCGCTATGAGGGTCTGCATTTTCAACACTCAGGGCGTAAAGCTCTTCAAAATATCGTAGCATAGTTTTCCATTGTACCATTGCTAGTTCCAGGGCTTTCATCAGACCGACTGCATAATCACAGTTTGGTTTCTGAAAACAAAGACAGAGTAGTATTTATTCAGAAGAACAGCTCATTTATAGAGAACAGCTCATTTATAGAGATTTCTGAATAAAGATTCATCAGTGGCTTCCTGCAACTTAACCTGGCTCTCTAAATAAGTTGTTATTAGGATTTTGCAACAACTGCTTCTAGTTTGGAGCATGTGTAGCTTTTTGCAGGCGGTAAACACATACCAAGTGGTAGAATCCAAGCACTTCTTCAAGGAACAAATTTAGATAGCAGGAGCTGTGCCTGAGGAGCCTACTTACATCAGGAAAGCCAATCATAGAATGATTTTGGTTGGAAAGGACCTTAAAAGGACCTTAAAATCATCTTGTCCTAACCCTCTGGGCAGGGACATCCTCCATTAAACCAGGCTGCTCAAAGCCTGTCCAACCTGGCCTTGAACACTTTCAGGGATGGGGCATCCATCACTACTCTGGGCAACYTGTTCCAGTGTCTCACCACCCTCACAGTAAAGAAGTTATTCCTAATATCCAGTCTAAACCTGCCCTCTTTCAGTTAAAAATTGTTGTCCCTCATCCTAACACTGCATTCCCTGGTAAACATTCTCTCCCCATCTTTCCTGTAAGCCCCCTTTAAGTACTGGAACTCCTAAGGTCTGCCTTGATTCAAACTGAGTATATYAAGAAAGATTTTCACGATGGCCTTTTTCTTTTCTACAGCTTAATTGCTATGGTGGACCAAAGAGGAGCATTCTGTATTCACTAATTTGATTGAGGAGAATCAGCCCCTTGGTCTTAAACAAATGAGGTGGGTTATTCTTTTTCCTGAAAATTATGAGTTATTCCTTTGTACTTGTGCAAGCCCAAGGTAGATCTGTAGTTCAAATTGTGTCAAGAGCTGTACTTGGGCAAATCAACTACTGCCCCAATCTAGATGGTTCTCCATCCTTAACACTCTTCTTAGGTGCTAATCATGTTTCAGCTTCTATGTAGGCTCAGTGAGAAGGAGACAGATGGACTATTTCAGCACTGTTTAAGGAGTCATAATTCATTATAGCATACTGGAAACAGCAGTGTCCAGCTGAGTAAAAGAAAAGGGGTACACTGTCCAAATTCTTTTTGGCTAGAAAGCAACCAATGTAGAGTTAAAACTGTATGTCTGTTTCTAGGCTTCACAATCAAGAACAAAACCAGGTACACAAGTATGTTAGGTAAATGATATCTGGAAATCKAATAGTGGGTGAATGCAGAATTCTGAAGTACCAACAATAGAATTCAGTGCGTTAAATGGATCACAGCTGTATGAAAACTCGTTGTCTATTACCCACCTGGATGGTTTTAGAGCAGTAATGGCCTCCTCTTTCTTGCTGATACTTCATCAACGCCTCTGCGGCTTTTCTCTCTTCCAGAGCTTGATGCAGGAAGAACTTCGAAATATTTGGTAGAGCCACATGTGACTGATCAAAATATTCTCCCTAAGCACACAAAACAGGAGTGTTAAGATTTGCCAGAGATGGGACTCACAGAATGTGGCTGTAACAGAACTTCTGGGAGATGCTTCCAGTGGAAGGTTTTTTGTTCACGAAGCACAATCACTTTGGAGACCTTAATCCAAATTTCTACAATAAATGAAGTAAGTAGTTGTATGAAATAAAGAATTTCTAATGTAGTCTACGAGAACTCCTTCTGTCCTTTAATATTGGTCAGGCAACTGTAGCACTGATGCTGCTCTTGCAGTAGCAGTTAAGAGATCTTCAGAATTTTGTATTTATGTGTGGTTAGCATGTGTGTGTTTTGTGTTTTGTGAAGGGCTTTTGTTTTGTTTTTTAAGCATACTTCCAGAACAGGGAACATAAAATTTATCCCTGCAGGCCAGCATTCCAGTCAAAAGTTAAGCTTTCAAAGGTCTGAGAACCATGAGGCACATACCAAAGACAGAACAAGCAAAACTTTGCATCTATTTATCAGCTTTATTGCAGACAATGGTATTCCAAAATAATGGATACTGCTACTGAACTATACACCTTCAATATTATATGTTGTCATTGCCTGGGAAGGCATATCAGGAAGAACATGGATCTGTTGGAGCGAGTCCAGAGGAGGACTCAAAAGTTATCAGAAACAATTTGGTTTGTTAAGTCTGGAAAAGAGAAGGCTTCAGGGTGACCTAATTGTGGCMTTCCCTGAAGGGAGTCAACAAGAAAGATTGAGAGGGACTATTTACAAGAGCACACAGTTTGACAGGACAAGGGGAAATGGCTACGAATTGAAAGAGTAGGTTTAGATTAGGTATGTGGAAAAATCTCATTACTGTGAGTGTGGTGAGACAGTGGCACAGGTTGTCCAGAGAAGCTGTGGATGCACCATCCCTGGAAGAATTCACTGCCAGGCTGGATTGAGCTCTAAGCAACCTGGCCTTGGGAAAGGTCATCTTGCACATGACAGGAGGATGGTCTTTAAGGTCCTTTCCAACCCATTCTATAATTTCTTTAGTATAAGAACCCTAAATCCCCTGCAGGCCTCGTTCTATTCTGTATGGGAAGTAACAACTTTAACCACTGCCATATTYAACCAGGCTAACAGATCTAATAGTTCATATATTTAGAATATTTTATCCATGGTGTGGTTGTCCCATAAAGAGAACATGTAAGAGACAGGGAGCAGAGGAGAGCCACCAGCCCACACAGGTTTGAACACTGGCTCTGCACGGATATTGAGGAGAGKAAGAGGCAGCAGCTGGGACTATACCAAGAACCAAACTSAGGGAGCTACAGCATCTTGATCTGCTGGTGCCCTAAGAGTGCGTGCAAGGTAACACAGCTTCATGTCTCTTGGACACGCTTTGCACCAGACTACACATAGCTGTATCATGCTGTTGGCTGGTAGCCTGCTTAGGAGGGGAAAGCAACAAGTATGTGCATTTCATAAGTTCTTCTGCTTCTGATCGTCTTTCCTGCTTAAATAGGAAATACTTTCATYGCAGCTATCTTGCTGTGTTTAGAAAAAAAATTAAGCGTTAAACACAAAACACAATTTTTTTAGGGCCATCTTGGAATACTTCAAACCTGTGACACAGGTACACACACATGCAACCATAACCCACTAAGAGAAAGCACATATTGGAATGTTTTATTAGAACATTCATTGCAATATTTGCAGAATCCTCCTCAAGTCATTCATTCCTCTTTCTGTTGACAGCATAGCTAAGATTCAGTKTTTTATAACCAGTTCCTCAGTGCAAGTGTGTAGTGCAACTTCAAGTGGAGCCCAGTTTACATATCTGCTTAACTGTTAAGGTAAATATTTTATGTTAATCATCCACTACTTAGGATGTTCACATTCCTAGATTTTATTTATCCATAGTCAATTTCTGAGTTTTCTCCTTCCCATCCAGCTAACAATCACTACAATTTTTTTCTTCCACAGGCTTACTGCATACTTTAACTTTTATTGAACTTACACTTGACACCAAACTCAATTGAAGGATCTTCTGGGCATGCTGAATTAGTTTGCATTGCTTCCCAGTGGATGCTTGGCATCAGAAGGTATGACACTGATAATTCTGATCTCTTTTATTCTGATATCTGTTAAATTATATGTTTGCCTTAACATTTGATGTATAGCCAGATGTAATTTTGGCATGAATGTTACATGGTATCAGCGATAACTTTTATAATTTGTCCAAAATGCATGCCTATGGAGCCTAAGTCATCCGTGAGGTTCACATACTACAGTTAACCACACAAAACTATTTTACAAAGTTTTGGGGAAACCCCACTCAGGGTTATACTCCAAAACTCGTAGCATTCCCTGTTCATGTCCCCTTTCCGCAGGCAAAAGCCCTTTTGTGAATTACCCGGAACACACGAGTGCCCGTTTCAGTGGCCCGCGCGTTCCTCGTTGTTTCCGTGGCCGTGCGGGCGCAGGGGCCGCAGCGCGGATCCGGCAGGAGCGCTGCCGCGGGAGCGTCGAGGAGCCCGGAGAGCCCCCAAACCCCCTGGGTCAGGGCACAGACACCGCTCTGCTGTCCGTGCCCGACTCTAAACCCTCCTCAGGCGGCACCTGCCCCGGGCCCGGCACCTCCTCTCGCCACCGGCGGTGAGTGGCGATGCGGAGCACGGGGGACTCCCGCAGCGTCCCGGCCGCCTGCCGTGCCCTCCCCGCGTCCCGCCGCTTACCAGCGCCTGCAGACAGTAGTGCAGCTCCAGCTGGGCGCCGGTGACGCCGCAGAGCGCCTCCTCCACGGCGGGCGGGAAGCCGTGGCGGACGCGGCTGCCGGGCAGCGGGCGGTGCGCGGGGCACGGGGGCAGCGTCACCCGCGGCCGCTTGGAGCGCGGCTCGGCCATGGCCGGCACCGCCATGGGGCCAMCGCGCCGCCGCCGCGCCGCCTGATATAGCCGGGCACCTGGGACACACCTTGCGCTGCCGCCCGCCTCCGAGGGGGGAGGAGGAGGATGTGGGTGCGGGTGCGGATGCGGGGGGGCTGGCGGGGGAGCCATGGCGTGCGTGGCACAGGGCAGGCGCGGCGGGAGCGCGGCCAGCTCCGGGCGGCCCGGGGTAGCGGCGCGGTGCCGGAGCCCGCAGGTGCCGGTTCGGCCCGTCAGGGAACATCCTAAACATCCTAAAACCCAGTGATTTACCTTAACAGTTGTGTAGCTGGGTTAACTTGGGCTCCGCTTGAAGTCGTGCCGCATGCTTGCACTGAAGAACTGGTTATAAAACACTAAATCTTGGCTATGCTGGTAACAGAAAGAGGAATGAATGACTCGAGGACAAGGATTCTGCAAATATTGCAATGAATGTTCTAATAAAACATTCCAGTATGTGCTTTCTCTTCAGTGGTTTATGATTACAATGTGGACATGTGTCACAGGTTTGGAGTATCCTAGRTTACCCCTAAAAATATAAGAGAAAAACGTTTGTTCTGCGTTTAACATTTCTGCATTTTTTTTTTCCAGAGAAACAGCTGAGATCAAAGTACTTCCTATTTAAGCAGGATATAGAGGAAAGCAGGGAAGACGATCAGAAGGAGAAGAACTTATGAAATGCACATACTTGTTGCTTTTCCCTCCTAGGCAGGCTACAAGCCAACAGCATGATACAGCTATGTGTACTCTGGTGCAAAGCATGTCCAAGAGACAGAAGCTGTGTTACATTGCACATACATGTTCAGGGCACCAACAGAGCAAGATGCTGTAGCTCCCTGAGTTTGGTTCTTGGCATAGTCCCAGCTGCTGCCTCTTACTCTTCTCAACATGGGATCTGTGCAGATCCAGTGTTCAAACCGGTGTAGGCTGGTGGCTCTCCTCTGCTCCCTGTCCCTGCTGCTCTTTATGGAACAGCCATACCATAGATAAAATCCTTCTAATGTAAGAGCTGAGCCTTTTTCTGAGCAGYCACATTCTGCACCTCCAGTTCCAGCAGCAGGCTGGACCGAAGTGAGAGCACACAGGCAGAGAAAATCCTGAGGAGTCAGTGAGCTCTGAAAAGTCGTGGGAATTTAGCTGTGTGTCTTGGCTACAGGGTAAAATCTTTAGCTTTTAGGTTTAGTGCTAAACTGTTGGTGGTGAACTATGCAGGTTAAACCATCTCCAGTATTTTAGTAATAACTAATAATTCCCAGCTTATACAGTAACTTCAAAATATATATTACTGGGTTTTTCAACTTCTACCAAATGGGTGGAGCTTGGCATTTCTTGGGCATTTCTTTACCTGTAATAGATTCAAACCAGTGGAGTTGAAGTATGAGTAATCTCAACACCCTTCGAAGTCAATAATTTTCTGTTCAGTGACTTTGTTTAGTAAGCTCAATGTTATGTGCTGTTTTATGGAATGTTGCTTTAGCAGATCACTCCCCCACAAACCCAGGATGCTAAGGGCAGAATCRTTTTCCATTGCCTGTTTTAATTGTGATTGGATCTGACTACCTGGAGCAGAGCACGCATCATCTGAGAGTAGTCACGTAGAGGTGTGAGAACATTATTCATGAGAAACTTAAATAATTCTTGTTCAGTGCCTCCATATCATATGCTCTTCAGCCCTCTTTGATTGCTGTAATTATCCAGTTTTTAGTTCTGATTCTTCATGTTACAGTTAAATTAGAAGTTTGTCTTAAAAAAAACCTGTAAGCATTTGAGTAAAATTTCCTGTGAGTAAAGTATTAAGTGCAATGTTTGCAAGGCTAAATTAAGAACCTAATTTCTTTAAACGACAATATATTGACTAGACTCTTGAATATGTATCTTGAACAACATATTACCTTATTCTGAAGTTCTCAGAAAGCATCCTCTTCTTCACTGTAGCACTAGGGACATTTGCTGGGAAGATGTATATCTGTCAGTTTACCTTTTAGTTCCTTCAATTTCAACTGTCTTTAGCTTGGCCTGTAGAACAGTTGCTAGCGTTTTTTTATTCCAGAATAATCTCTTGACTGCCTTCAGAACAGGAGGAGTAGGAAGAGCAAGTGTGGTGCCCCTGTGTGTGCACCAAGCTAAATAAACAGTTGATGACCTCCTTTCTTTGGCCAGTTTGAATAACTTGAAGTGTGAAATAGCAGTGGAAAACAACTTAACCTGGTGTCCCCATGGAAAAGTTTGTAGTTGTATTTTGTTAATTGGGCATTCACCATGATAATTTTTGATCATATGAGCTCATAGTGGCTTCTGCTTGTASTAGTGGACTTTGTACACTTGGAAAACTGTATTAAGTTACCCCATTTCAGTGATGGACAGCTGAGAGACAAGGGCAGTTCTTGAGGCCATCTATGACGCATGGAGCTGATCTGAAAACTGACTCTAAATTCTTTAATCTCCATGTATTCTTTTTATGAGAATACCATTCAATTTCTTTTGCTTTGTGCTTCGAAGAAATAAAGGAAATACATGTCATTTGTGCTGTTACCAAATGCATTGTGGAGAAGTTCTGTTACAAAGTARTGGGGTTCTTGCTGCATAGGATGAGGTGGTGTAGTGTGCTGTTTGTTTCTGGACTGGGGAAAGTATCATTTGCTCCAAAAGCTTGTGACCTCAAGAAATGCAGTATCCTGGGGAGCAAGCACTTTGTTCAGTTTCTTAGTTACAACATTTCAGCACAGTATCACAGAATATTTTGAGTTGGAAGGGACCAGAAATGATCATGGAAGTCCAGTTTGGCAGCTGCCTGCTRTCAGCTAGGGTTACTTTTAAGATGGCTGGCTTTTTTCCTCACCAAAAGGGAGAGTCTCTTTGCCAAATTGTATTCTGCAGAGAAGTTTAGGTCGTTGTAGAAAAGGTTGGTGACACCTGTGAATAGAGTTGGTGACAGGTACATGCCTTGATGAAAGATGTCTTGCCATTTGTATGATTTGGCATGATTTTGGTACAACACATTTTAAAGTGTGTTGAAAGTGTGTGGCAGAGTGGGAACCCAAACCACCACAGTGTGTATACATACTGCAATTGAAATTCCATCCAAATGAAYTCTATAACACACAAACATATACCTTTCCCTACTCCTCCCCACCCCTTTTCCTATTTAGTCTTTGGCAGAGTGCAGGAGAGAGGAGTGTTTGTGTCAGTGGGCTGTAGCAACCCTAAAARTATCCTTTTTCTCAAAATATCCTTTTTCCTGAGCTTGCTTTGCAAACATTTAGTTGTATCTGGCCATTTTCTACCCTGATTCTCTAATTTAAAGCTTGATTCTTAAAGCTGCAATTTGTAATCTGGAGTTGGTGATGTTTATTCTTTTACCACACGTAGTAAGAGCTGTGGCTGTTGCTTCTCTCCAGCTACCAATCTATTTGCTTCTTTCTATCTGTGATGGTTTTTTGATGTGCTTTGCAAATAGTCTGTCTTATGCTGCCAGACTTTTCTCTCATTCAGTGCCCATCAATAGCTGTGATGAAAACAGAGGGTCGTGTGAGGAAAGAAGTAATAAATATATGTACGATATGTATGCCTGTGAACTGGCCTTCTTCATTCATCATTTTGTTTTGTAATTAAGTGAAACCAAAGCTCTCTGGCAGGAAATGATTCACACAAACACCCATGAATTCATGATTGCTTTTATTGGACAAGAAGTCCTTTAACCCATTTTTCTTATGCTTTTCTAGTCTCAACAGGTGCTTTATCTCACTATTTTATCCAGTCCCACTCTTTTTTACTTCCTTTATACCACAGAGGAAAAGCCAGCAAGAAATCTGAATTGTTTTGTTGCTTTTTGGCACTGTATGACTCATAAAAGTAAAAAAGAAGCCTGAAATTTGGTTTCAGTAAAAGTGGTCATCAGCAAAACATGAGATGGCCCTGGGGAGGCAACAGTGTTGTGATGAGGCTGCGAGGTGGACATTCTGGAAAATGCTTTTTGTCTCTCTGTCAGTGAGCAAAAGGAAAGGTCCAGTTTGCTACAGTGCTYTGAAATCAGCATGTTTTAATGATACAAGAGAAGGATTTCTCAAAAATAAAGCCTAGTCCCTTTGAAGTCAGTATTATTGGTATCAAACAGAGCAGACAGAAGGCTATATTTTGGGTTTGTGGGTACTAAAAACTACTGTGCTGTGCCGGATCTACAGATATTTTACATTTATTCAGTTTAATAAAATGAGGTACCATAATGAAGTTCTTCTTAAAAAATGCTTGGATTAGCTTTTAATTTTGGAAGTATTTTTAAAGTGCCTTTTTTGGCACTCACCTCAAATACTTTAAAGCTTAGTTTTCAATTGCTTTCCTGTTCTACAGTCCTAAAGATTTTCTTCCTGTCATTGATATTTTTTTGTTTGCCAAACATCCATTGCAGCACTGTTTGAAGCCAGGTGGGATGTTTGAGGATGTTCCCATCACTGGAAACAGGCATGTCTGTTTTGCCTCCATTGAGTTTTTCCACCTTGCATCAGTAGCTTGGTAAAGTTAGTACACTTTTTGCTTCTGTTGTAACTTTTATCTTAGGCAGTTTGTTTCCATAGGCTTCCTTGGCACAAGTCTGCATGGCACAGATACTGAGAAGTTGGCTTATTGCCTCTCTTCTTTCACGATGAAGTTCTTCCTTAAGGAACTTTGCAAATGCTGGACAACATATAATGTTGTATGTATAGAATTCTTGGCAGCTTTACTGATTAAAATCTGTTCTTCACACATGTGCCCACAGCCTGCAGRCATGTATCTCTGCTATGTCTAAAGCTAACACAGGAGCTTGTAAGAGTTTSTGAAATACAGGTAAAGCTTATCTTTAACCTTGTGTCACAGAACACATATAGAAGGATTTTCTAATCCATGCTATTTTCTTCTCTGCAGTGTTTAAATTCGATTATCTGTAATTAATGCTTACTTCTACCATGGGACCCTCTCATGAGCAGCTTGGAGACAGCCTCTGCTGCTCT